GAAGTAGGCTTTGAGAATGATAGGGGGAAACATTTGTCCAGTTTGTCTTTAGTAAGATCGATTTTACCGTGAACTTTCCAATACGCTTAGGAAAAGTAGTATATACTCTCAAGTAATGTTCTGAAACACAACCTTGCTTGAACGATCACAACGCAAGTGCTCTGGTAGAGACTTTTTCGGGGGAGGAGTACAGGTCTTCTTATTAGAGACGAGACTTTAGCCTCTTATCTCCCATGAGTGACCGAGACAGAATTTCTCCTAACTATCTCAATACAATATCAAGCAGACAAGTAACGAGAATAAAGAAAAACATCAACTAGGGGATAATCAGTTGATCCAATACCAAATTCTCTTAACTATCATCATAAGAATTGTATGACAGACAGTAAGGAGAATTACTAAAGAGATCTGAGGAGTGAAATTAACGGATATAGGGATATTACCGGGTTTCCGGCAGTTGACACTATATAGTTAGTGAAACCATCAGTGTAACGATCGTTCTCTTATATCTCTCCTCGGAAAGGTCAAGGAATCACTTTAACAGATCCCGACAATATCATTATCACATCTGGAAAACGCAGCCTGTCCCAGATCTCCGTTTACCAGATTGACAACCCCAAAAAGGGAGAATGGACACTAACTGTGTCTGGCAGCAATGGAGGTCACCAATTTTACGTCAAATCGACCAGTGAGACAAACGTCGACTTCGAACATTACTTCATCATTCCATTAAGCCGCAGGCGCCATCAGGAAGTACCTATTTCAAATCCAATAATTGGTGAGTTCGCGTTGTCAATTCCACTCTTTGAAGACACTACCGGTCATTAGTTATTTCCCGGGGGGGGGGGGAAGGGGGTGTGATTTTTGTGGGGATCACATGGTTTTCAGGGGAATGGAGAGGGGATCGGTCGTCGCCAACACAGTATAAAGGAGGGACAATAGAAAATTGACTGCCAATTAACTGCCCATAAGGGGAGGGGGGGGGGGGCTTGTAAGAATGTTATAGAGCCTTAGGGGGATCAAGTAGATTTTACCGTGACACAATCAAAATCCTCCTACTTCGTCCTTCAGACATGTACAATGATTTTGTTTGTTTATCTATTTATTATTTTTTTGTCGTGTTTTTTTTCCTTCTTAGGTAAACGGAACAAGGTGGTTATAACCGTCGCTGGTTCTGAGAAAGTCATTCCAAGCTCCTTGCGTTTGGACCTTATTACCCCTGAAGGAACAAAGATCAGCGACGTCACACTACAGACAGCTGACAGGGTCCATTTCACCTCAAGTTTCACGCCTCGTGTAAGTCAGCCGTTCAAATTCAAGCTCAGAGGTACCACTCGTGGCGGGAACGCGTTTGAGAGGATTTCACACCAGACGATCAAACCCACGACTGTCGTGCTAAGGGGAAAGTATGCCAGCAATGATTACACCCTCCCTCTAGGAAAAGTCACCTTTGTTCATTTTCAACTGTGTAATTTTGGTGAAAGTGAACATTTTGACGTGACAGTCGTGAAAGACAAGATGGGGTACATGCTCTCTCAGAGTGTCAGGTCAAGGCGGGTAATAAAGGGCCGTTGCACTACACTTTCCGTTCGCGCCAAAGCCACACGTTCTACAGATGTGGACAAAACAGATACCGTGTTTTTAATCGCGAAGGGTCGAAAATCTAAAGTTGTAGCTTCACAAGCGGTGCGTCTGTTCGTTGTTTCTTAAGTTCATCGGAGTCGGGCTTTAGTTTTTTCAGCGCATGAATGAGATAGCAAATGTAAACAGAGAAAACAATCTAGAATAGAGGGATTATGAATAAATAAGTAAGAAAGTTTGGTTATCTGTGTGATTTTCTATCTGCGTTTCTTCATCTCGGATTATCAATTTTCAGTACTACGCTTGTAACTATTATATTTTAATCAAAAATCAAATAATTTTTTCCTCATTACGATTTATGTTACCGTAAGAATGTTTTTCACTGGCCGAGTGGGTTGGTGATTGAAAAAAACATAGGACAAACATACACGAAAGCGGAAAACGAAACCAAACTGCCTTTCTCGAGTTCCCCACCCTCTTTCACCCTGAAAAAAGATCAACTGGAATCGTCGTATTGGTCAAAGACCTAAAGGCTGTCTTGCTGACCGGTTGTCCAGGAAAAAGGCATTTATGATTCAATCCAATTCTTCCTTCTAATGTAGAAATTACTGAGATCCATCCACCTAAGAGCACTAAGACCGTGCTCTCCGAGTTCTTTACTTTTGCACATATGTTTTTTTTGTTGTTTCTTAAAAGCAAATTGAAATCAACAAAATTCTGCATAGCACGTGGAATCTCATATTCTGCCCATTAATTAGCCTTTTTGTTTGGCGGCGTCTTTGCACGTTGTCGGCTCAAAGATAGCAAGGACCTTAAGCAAATCACGACGGCGACGGAAACGAGGACATAGAAAAACAAAAGATCTTATTGGCAGAACAATAGCTCAGCACGTGCGTTTTAAAACTTTGTACATTTCTCAGCCGTCCCAGGCAAAACAACAACGTGAAGTCACCACAAATTGCGTCGTCTACAGACCGAAACAGCGAAGGCAAATTATTTTAATTTCCATTTGGAACTCAACACTTCTTTTATACGCTATGCTGAAGTTGAGGTGTGGCGCCGTATGAGACGGTAAACACATGTAGCCATTTTCGAAATTCTAATTAAAGGCAGAAATTCATTTTTTAATCGATGCCGTCCCGACTGCTTAAGGTCCCTGCTATCTTGTACAGAGCTCGCACACCGACAACGAAAGGTAAATTTTTTTTTTTGGACATATACCAACTTTCTATCATTGGTGGAAGCAAAGAAAGGCTGCAGACCTATTCAAATACTGACTCACCTTACGAAGCCCGATACGACGTTGTTATCCTGTACAACGGTACTTTGGTCATACTAGAAAATGCCACGCTAAGTTCTCCGCCCAGGTCAGTGACTCCCACGATCTCATAAGTAATTTTCCTTATTGTCTGACATGTAGTTCTTGTGATGTTAGTTTGGATAATTTTGTATGGGATCAACTAAAAATCCCCTAGTAATATTTTTTTTACTCTCATCACTTGTCTACTTGTATTGATATTGTAAAGAAAAATTATGTCTTGGGAAAGCCATACCAAGAGGTATGGAAGAGGTATTCGGTTTGGCTGAGGGCGCTGGTCCTTGGGAGGGTAGAGTTGAGTTTCTTTGTTGCGTATGCTGCTGTTTATGATTCCTATCTTTGATGATCAAATTATCCCTTGACAACTTTTTTTTTGAATACTACAGAAAATTAAGAAGAGATTTCTTTTATGGGTTGATTAGATTTGATTATCATTGCCTACACATTCAGAATTAGAGAGCTCAAAGTTTACCCAGCCCTATTTTAAGTTTTAAAATACTGAAGACTTTATGCCGCTAAATGTTTAAACACTTACATTGTGGTTATTTCCTTGTGTTTAGTCCGTCGGGACGTCTGATGGTTTTTGTTCCCTTAGATGCCCAGACTGTCAAAAGGGGTATATTTTTTATACCATAAGCTGAACTTTCTTTAACATGATTAACTCTGATTATTTCATTGAACAGGACTGGGATAACCAACACTGTAATGTAATAACATCCGGGAAAATGTATTAAGATTTGCTACCAAAAGTTTTCAATGCCAAGGTTCTTTTGGTTATTTTTCACATTCTCGTAGTTGGTTTTGTTAAACCTTTCTTTTACGTTATTTTATGTTATTTGTTTATTTTTTGTTTTTTTTCCTTGTGCACTTATTTGTTTCGTATCTTTAGATATCATTTGACTATTTAGTTATGTAATTATGAAGATATCTGTTTATTTGTATCTTTATACTGATAAATTATATTTGCGCATTTGAATATATATACATAGAATTTGCGCCTTAGAAGTCAATAAATTATTATTGAATTATCATTAAAGGAATATTTTGTGATTAATTTACATGTCTTTACGATATCGTAGCAGACCAGTCCAACAAACGATGGAAAAATTGAAAGACGGATGAGAGGAATGGTATCCAAAATGAAACTCCTTACGATGGAAATTCCTTTTCCATTCTTCCAAGAATTTCACTTTCAGGAAGTGCTACGCTGCACATCAAATAGTCGATGCATTTACACCTCTATGGCAAAATTTTGTCCAAAGAAGCACGTTGGAAAGCCAATAGCCAATAGTCCTCATCAATTTGTGTAAGTCATTTACTATTCTATGATTTGTTGAAGAAAGTTTGAATTGGTAAACGATAATTCCACGAACTAAATCCACTTAGTAGCTGGAGTGAACTTGCATATTTCCTTGAAAACGTTCCTTTGAGCCTAAGGTACGTGTATAGGAAGTTTTGATTTCTTAACATGTTAATGTCCGCTTTCTTAGGACAAGAAATCGAACGCAAAAAAGCTTTTTTGCCTAATTATGTAACGAACTTGATTTATAACATGCTAAAATTATATTCTGTTAAAGCATTCAAGTATATTTTTGTGGCTGTTGGGTGTTATGTTACCTTTACAAGGGGTATTTCCACGATAGTGCTAACATCATTTACTCTATCCTCTACATATGAACAACTGGTGATTCCTGGTTATCTGGACAACGACGTAAGTACTACTACTTAAAAAAAAAGGGTAAGTTTCATAATTGTACTTCTTTTGAAAAGTTATACCTTCAATTTCTTAGAATTCTTTAGCGACACACTGGGAATAGACATGTCTCCTTTGAAACAACAACTAGCCTGTTCCAGGCCTTTAGTCAGTAAAACGGAGCGGGATGATAAACAGTAGCGGAAGTGTGGAAAAAAAGAGAGAAGGTCTGGGTCGGGTCTTATAATGCCCGACTCAACCCCCTCACCACCCCCCCCCCCCCCCACAAAAAAATGATGTGTACTGCTTCTGGGCAGTGATGAAAGAAAAAGATACAAATGAAGATGGTAAATTTTAAGCCTCTATGATGCTGTCAGGGAACAAACTAGTTACAAACAACAATTCCACCATGTTAAAAAAGGCGTTTATTCAGAGCAGGGAGTTCTTACATCATCATCGTTAACAATCACATCAGCTACAAACATATACTAGTAATGACACTATACACTTTGTACTTCTTACAGTCTTCCCTCTTAATAATATCTTTGAGAAGCCAGCTTTTGATTGCAAAATAATTGGAATCAGGAAACAGCCGCAAAGCCTTTCTTAGTTGAATCAGAAAATCTTTGGTAGAAGTAAGGCGAATAACAAAGCTCCGAGGCTCAAAGTAGGTCCCAATACTGCGCTGGATGGCTTAGAGGGCGGCTCAGTGGGTCCTACACTGTTACACAGGTCACCTTGGCAGCATTCAATACTACAGTCTTTCCCTTGAGCCTTGTAAATTTTACAAGCTGTAGATTAAAAACAATTTTCAATATATATATTCGAAAATAACGTTTTACGGGAACGAAATAGCTGTTTCAGCGGTTTTTTGTCGTCATAAAACACGTAGGGCCGATTACTTGAACAAGGTGTAGCAACATTTAGCCATTGTTCAACAAAACCACGGTTTAGACTATCTTGAATCAGCTGAATAATTTATCTGACCATTCAGTTTTGTGAACTGTGTCTAGGGAAATTTAGTAAATTAAAACAACCTTCTTATAGAAAATACGTAAGCGCCAGTGTTTGCGTAAAACTGCGATTTGGGTTTGACATCGAGTAAATAACCGTCCCGTAAGGCTTTTATCAGCCCAGCGGTCACACGTTTGCGCATGTGCAAATGTTGTCATGACTTGGTTGGTGGAGTGCTTTCAGGGTGTCAGAACACGTGTCTCACACGAGTTACAAGCAACCACTCGAGCCAGTAAGTCACGGTGTTTTAATTAGAAGCGTATAACATTTTCGGCAAGCTCAAAACAGAATGGTGATTTAACGGGATACTCATTATTTCATAAGCTTCGAATTCAAAATGTGTCGAGTTTTTCTGTTCCTTAATTTTGTCCCTTTCAAAGATTTCTGTGGACGTTTCAATTTTTTTTCGCACAGTATGAGTGACTGCGGTTGGTCTCATGTTTTCCTTTGAAATTTTGCGCGGTAGATGCGCGCGCGATCAAATTTGAGTTGGTTTTCTTCACACAGTTAAGAGTTAAGGCCTCTTGATACAACGTATCAAGAGGTATGTTGGTAATACTACATACAGAAATAGTTCTGCCAATGTGATCCATATAGATGTAAGAGTTGGGTTTAAGCAGAATTGCAGATTGTTTACAATGTAACTGGTGATATAGCTAAACTGCACTATTTTACTTACGATTTAAATCCGACTGTGCATCACAGACCAGGCTGGAAGAACAGTTCCTCATCTCGACTGTTACCTCTGGGGTCATACTAAACTTCATTGTAACACATCGGTCATAAATCGGAGGGCAAGTTACTTTTTTCACATTGTCGGCACTGCAGCTAGTTCCTCCACTAACCTGCGCAAGACTAGAACATTCGTAACACTGAAGCGACAAAGCTGTTGGTTAAAGAAAAATATCACAGTTACGAAAGTTTGTCAAGACTTGAAGGACACATCCTTTCACAGGCCAAACAAACGCGCACGGTGTTCGAACGGAAGTGACCATTGACGACCAAGGTGATTTTGTAGCTAGAAATTTGGTAGCGCTGCATAATGAATCTCGACACTTTTTTTACCGTTCACATGCAAAAGGCTATCATAACCTTAGGAAATTTTACTATCGATAGAATAGCTCAGCCGAAGTCTAAAACTGATTTCCGAACACAAATATGCACTTTTCTCGAATTAAAGAAGCTGAGCCTTTCGTGTATTTATTACTCGACCAAGGCTGCTTCAAATTCTTATCCTGCGGTTTCTATGACTTGGTATGACAAATTTTTCATTGCCTGTATCTGTATTGATTAGGCCTCTCGACCAATGAGCGCAGGAGAATTTCAACAGTTAGTATCAAGATATATATAAGATTTCCGGAGGTAAAACTTTGCGCACGTACGTTTGTGCTTGCGTGTGTACCTGGTTGCTACACTGTTTTAGCGGCACAGATTATGACTTGGCAATTTAAAGAGTACTTAATTGTCTAACTTTTAACCAGGAGCTATCACTGGGAACTGCAAATGTATTTCTCTAAGACATGGCGCGCATGTGGAAACACGAGTTTTTTTTTCCGATTTGATCTCACTCTGCTTTTTCCAGAATGACGTTTAATTCCTAATTATCTGCCGCATTGAAGCCAAGGAAGATTAAGTGAAGAAAGAAAAATGAAAATATATCTAAAGGATAAATGGATGATATGAAATCTCCAAGCGCTCATTTACCTTATCAGTGATGCTTACATTTGTCCCGAGGACAAAGTCTAATTCTCGCGATTTTGGAGGTAGGACTTTAGCCACGTCACTTTGTTGATGAGAAATCTTTTCAAGTCGTTCAGTACAACGGTTTGGCTAAAGCTGTCCACTCTTTTCAAGATACAACCGTTTGATTTGACAGTAGCGCCTTACTAATATC